TTAGGTTTTCTTATGTTGAACTACTAACTAATATAGCAATAAAATAAGTTTGTCACAGCAAAGCAATATTCCATTAACTCACCAGGTCTTCAGAAAAATTTGGGGGTTGTTAATGCAGGCACATGCCTGCTTTCACTTGTGAAAGAGAATCTCAATTTCATCAGTACAGATAACATGGAGCAATTTGGTCTCAATTTGCAGAGAATTCTAAATCGTAACGGCTTTTATGCAAATGATGACACTCAGGGCTCTTACTGATGCACCTGAACCAAATACCTGGGAGACAGCAGCAACCCAGAACAAGCAAATATGTACACTACAGGTACCACTTCTCATCAAATGAAAGCCATCATCTGCAACAGGAAAACCATGAAAAATGTTAAATATAAATAGTAATTTATCCTTCCATTAGTATAACAAAAAAAAAATCTAAAATTGCTTTGTTATTTGTACATTTTATTTATACATGTAAAGATGACAGACACACCAATCTAGTTTGAAGTCACATTTGCAGAGCCTCATCAACAGTGCAGGACTTAAAGATGCACTTGGTTTATTGAACGGTTTACTATTATTATTACAATACATTCATATTAATTCTACTTGCAATCTGGATAATACTACAATATTTCTTTTTCAGGAAAGCTTTAAAAAATTCTTCTTGTGAGATTGTTTTGAAACTTTTGAGCTCTGCATAATACTTCCCACTTGAGCTAATTGTTTTTAAAGGGAAATTTAATTTTTAAAAGTGTGTTTTTCTAACTAATGGGAATCTGTGCTAAAGTAAACAATGAGTCCAGCTTGATAGGAATTTTTGCTCTATCTTTACCAAAATAAGGAAGGAAAGAAATGTAATAGCATGCTGAAACACATGCAGTAGCAGAATTGTTGAATTTTAAAAAACAATTAGAAGACAATTTTCTACTCCACTTCTCCTGTTTGAAACAGATCATCCTGCCCTGCCTCATTTAATATTAACTGGGTACATTCTTGTCTCTAGAAGAAAACACAAATGCAGTTCCCTAATCCACTTACATTCTTGCTTCAAATGCATTTACAATTAGCCAGCCTGTCGATAAACTATTGTCCTCACACATCACGTCTGTACAGCAAAATGTTTAAAAGAAACTCAAGTCTTTTCAGGATTGCCACCAGCTCTGAACAAAACATTTACATTACACCCAACCCACCTGCCAAGGCAAAACCGAGAAATGCGAAATGGGCACGAAAAGCCAAAGTTTCCACCTCCTTGAGGGATATTAATGAGTAACTCCATGGTTTCAATAAAGCCTTATCTTCCCAGATGGGAATAGAGAGGTCATCCCTAGGCAGAGACAATGAATCACTTATTTATTCCTTCCTTGTCTGCTGCACATACATATGTATCACAAGTCTTCCCTGCAAGCCAGGACTTTAAAACTCACTGTCCTCAACATCTACTCCCCACTGGTGCAAGAGAAAGAATGAAAGAGAAATGAAAGAGACATGAAAGAGACAATGCAGAAGGATATGAAAGACACAGAACAGTTATGACACCCATGTTTAAACTACTGAAAATCAAATGTTACATTTCACATGAAGAAAGGGTTACTCCTAACCCCACCCTGCCCCTCCCAAAAAAAAAAAGAAAAAGAAAAACATGTAAGAAATATTACATTTCACTTTGTTTCTGTATTTGTTTTTACTATCACTGCCCCTCAAGCTGTGCAAGGACAGATCTCACTGGTGGAAAAAAAAAATAGTAAGGGTGCTACATTTGAGTTTGGTAGGTGTTTATAAAATAAACATTATTCCTCCCATGGGGGAGAAAGTCAAATTCATCCCCAGGCAAGCTGCTGTCTGACAAACAAAGTTTTTAAGTGTCAAAATTTCCTACTGGGACTTTAGCATTTACAGTAACAAAACAAAACAGAAAAAAAGCTACAGACCTGTATTCACTTTCTCCAAAAACCCCTTAACCAGAATGAAACCCGGGACATGATGCGAGTGAAACTGTTACGGTGACACCGTGCTATATTTAAGCAATTCTTTGAGAAATAAGAACATGACACAAACAGTGGAAACACACACAAATCAGATGAAGTCCTAACACCTACAGTTATGGGACTGTCCGCAAATAAATACCTTTCTGCATTTGTTAACTGGGTGCATATGCCAGTTCAGAATACACTTATTTTATTATAATTATTTGATTAACATGGACTTATTTTAATTGAAACAGTCACTTGTCATCATAGAGGACATTATTTTTTTCCACCCACTTTTGCTAAAGTAAGATGGCCTAACAGTTGCTCCATTGCATTCTTGCACACCACTTCTGCTACCAAAAACTATCTTGTCAGCACAAAAATTGGAGCTGCCTAAATAAACAAAAGCAGTTATATCTCAAAAAAAAGTAGGTTGAGTCTCATTATTCAGACTTATATGTATGTGGGCACATACCATGTCTATTCATGGAATAAACTACAGATGAATAATCCATACACAAACTAATGCTAACTTCTATATTGCAGCCCAGAGACTGACAAGTAAGAGCTTGTGGGGAGAAGAATTTAATTCTAATGTATGTCTCAAGTGACAATAAAAAGGATATAAAGTGCCTAGAATCAACAAATAACTTATCCTCTGTACTCAGGGACATAATTTGCCAGATCTGGATTTAGCTGTCATTACAACTTGTGCTTTCAAATGCAAAGCAAAGTGATGTTATTTTCCTGTTCAATTTTATTCATGTTATATAAAATGCAGTAAAACTCGTCATGCCAGAGGATTTGCAAAGGGATGATGTGAAGGTTAATTACTGGCTGCTCATAAAGCATCCTGCCTGTCGAAAGCCCCATGTGTAAAAATGACCTTGTTATCAAAGCTGTTGAGTGCTCCCACCGGCCACTTGCAATGGGCAGAATGGGTATTTTTCTGTAGCTCTTGAAAACCAAATCAGTTGCATTCAAATATCTACCTCCAGTTTGAGGAGGTTCTGGCACTGCGCCTGTACCCCATTTCTGTAGGGGGTGGGGGTTAAACTACCAGGGATTTTGCTTAAATCATGTATTTCCAGGTCAAAATGAAAAAGACTAAAATGTAGGTATCAGAGAACCAACATCTGAAAGATACCTGCTAAACCTCCCCACAGAGTCAGGCAACAAGTGAATGCAGATCTCATCCTTGCGCCCTAATTACCCCCTGGAAACCAAAGACACTACTTGAAACAATAAAGCACAGGTATTTCTGTGATCAACCATATTTGTAGGGTGAGCTAGCACTGGGAAAAAATGGTAAAGCACAAGACCAAGCACGAAGAGCAGTGCTCAACAAAATGGAGCCTGCAATGCTACGCACAATGCTTCAGTATCTTCTTGCTATTTATACACATAAAATAATTAGGAATGAGAACACCTTAACATTAATTAAAGCACAGCCCCATAGGACTTCAGAAATCTTCTCAGAGATGGTTTCTCGGGTGACAGCTATGCCAGCAAGCAGAGTTTGACGTGTCCTGTAAAAATACAACTTCATGCCTGGTATTGCCACACTGCAGAGAACAACATCTGAAGTGTGATCATGCCTCTCTCTACCCATATCCTCCTCCTCCTCGGCTTGGAAATAATCAGCTATGGATACTGCCAGGAAAATGCCTCATCTCCACTAATATTCAACTCCCCCTCCACAATGATGGTATCTTAACAAAATGAAGAACTGCAAAAACTCCTCGTGCTTGTGTCTTTCAGGAGCTTTCTCCAACAGCGCTCGACCAAATCTTCCTTCTCCCTTTAAGCAGCAGCTCTATCAAAGAAAGAAAATATTCCCTTTGAAACATCCTTGAGAGCCCAGTGGAAAGAGCAAGCAGAGATGTCACTGTGGCACAAAAAAGAGCTCTGTGAGAACAGGCAGCTGGCCTACCTGAAGGTTAAAGGAGCTCCCACTGAAAACCTGCTCTGAATACTTCAGAGCAGAGCACGATGCAGAACAGACATTTACACACACTAGGTCTGTGTACCAAGGTGTGAAAAAACCCAACCTCCGAGCACAGCACAGCCTGGATGAAATCCATTGAAATACACCATTAACAGAAATCTACACAAAAGCCAATCCACTCTCTCGTATCAGTGCCCTATAGGAAGGCCAGAATGAAGCCATTGAGAAAAAATGAGACATTAACATATAAATCAAAAAAAGACAGGATCCAAGTACCGACTGATTAAAGATCAGTGTAAAATATATTTTTAATAGCTTAATAGATAAAATCTGTGTGATAAAATTAGATAAAATAAAACCGCTCTATATACTCCACATATATTCAAATAATATTGGCCATTACATTTTAACTTGGATATGAAAATATAAATCACATTTTTCAAGACTGCATCTGTCCATAGTACATCTTCTGTAACGCTGATATCACCACCTCTCTTTTTTTTTTTTCTCTTGCATCATTTTCCAGCAGGAAGAAAAACCCTGAAGGAATCTCCATATTTTCCAATCGCATTGCCTGTATCCGGGCAGGTTATGTGACCGCCAAACCAGAGCCCCCAGAGCAGGCCTGAACCACGGCAAAGTCCGCGCACACCCCGAGCCTTCGCTCTCGAATTAAAAGCATCCTCCACCTCCCTCACCTCCAACTTGGCCAAGGTGCCAGCAGGTATCTGCCGACTTTGGTTTCGGATACAAAGGGCTCGGAATGGTGACTGTATGTCGGGTCATGTTGAGAGGGATTTTTTTTTTTAATAAAGGAAAAATATTCAACAACAATAATAACAGTAATAGTAGCCTTGCTCGGAAAATAATAACAATAAAAAAAAAAAAAAAACAACGCCGAAACTGCAAAAAAAAAAATCCATAGGATTACGAACAAGAGGAGAAAAAAAAAATCCTTTCAGGATTTTCGCCGGCATTCCGGAACGCAGTGGAGCCGATCCCACCCTCGCCCACCGGCGGCCCCGGGGCTCCAGCCAGGGCCAGCGGGCATCTCCCGGCCCCGCCGGACCCGGGCGGGCTCTTACCGTGGCCGAGGCGACGCTGTTGTCCGCCAGGGTCAAGTGGTGCGGCTCCCACCGCCGCAGGAACTTGGAGGTGAGGATCTTGCTGAGAAACGTCCGGGGGTGCCGGATGACACACACCTGGATGTCCCCCTCCTGCAGCAGCTTGTACCTCATGCCGTTGCAGTGGAGCAGGGCTCTCCGGCACGGCGCGGCACCCATTTTATTCCCCTCGGGAGCGGACATCTCGCCCAGCAGCGGCTTGCTCTCCTCGGGCTGCCTGCGGTCGCTGCCCCCGCCGGAGCCGCCGGTGCGATCCATGGCAGCCCCGCGGGCCGGGTCGGGGGTGGCGCTCGGCCGCCCGCGGGGACCGGTCTCTACGGCGGGTAGAGACGGGTACAACCAAAGATAAAATTCAAAATAAAAACTGTAACAAAAAAAAAAAAATCCAACCCCACGCGGCAGATTAAAAAAAAATAATAATAAAAATTGCACGCTGAAGAAAAAAATAAAAACAAAACAACAAAAGCTGTCGGGGAAGATGGGGGTAGGGGCTGAGCCGCACCGAGGGGAGCAGGGGGAAAGGGAAGCGATAAAATCCTTATTCAAACTTCCCAATCCGCCCCCGGCGGGTCACAGCGCCGCGTCCATGCTGCCGGGCGGGCGCCGGCCGAGCGGAGGGTCGGCTCCCGCGGGGGCGGCGGACAAAAGCCGGCGGTGGTGGCGGCGGTGGCGGCGCGGGGGGCTCCTGGCGGCGGCGGCGGCGGGGGCTGCGGGGCGTCCGGCAGCGGCTCCTTCCTTCCCCCCGGGGCGTGTGCGCGGGAGCGTGCGGCGGCGCGCGTGCATGTATGTCTGTCTGTATGTGGGTGCGGGTGCGCGCCCGTGGGAGCGGGTGTGAGTGCGTGTGCGAGCGTGCCTGCCTCTGTGTGTGCGTGTCTGTGTGTGCGGGTCCCCACGCGCGCCGCCGCCGCCGCGGCAGCAGCAGCAGGAGGAGGAGGAGGCGGCGGGAGCGGCGGGCGCTGCCGACACAGCCCCTCTGCCGGAGCGGCTCCGCGCGCCGCGATTGGCCCCGCCGCCGTCACGTGCCGCCCTGCCTGACGTCAATGGCCGGGGAGCCGCTCCGGGCAGCGGCGGCCGCGGGAGGTGCGCGGGAAGCGCCGCGCCCCTCACGGAGCCGCGGGATCGTTCGGGCTGGAAAAGACCTCTGAGATCACCGGGTGCGACCTGTGACCGAACGCCGCCTCGTCAGCCGGACCGCGGCACCGAGTGCCGTGTCCTGTCTTTTCCTTAAACACCTCCAGGGACGGTGATGCCAGCGCCTCCCTGGGCAGCCCGTGCCGATGTCTAGTCACCCTTTTTGTTAAAAAATCCCTCCTAACGTGCAACCTGAGCCTCGCCTAGCGCGGCTCATCGGGGCACGAGCTGGAGGTGTGCGGGCAGCGCCAGGCCCCTGCACCCTGAGGGCAAGCCCCGGCTGGCCGCTGCGGGAAGGGGCAGACTCCGTGCGGCCGGTGTCCCCTTCCCGCAGCCCCCTCAGGAGCCCGGGCAGGGCGCGGGGGCTGTGACCACCTCTCCCTGAGGGCGACAAATCACCGCAGGGTGAGTTCTGAGCATCCTCACTCCAGTTAAGCTCTTGTACAACCCCTGCAGAGAATGGCCAAGGAGCCCGTGCCAGGCTGCTGGCACTTCAGCGGTGATATTCCCTTTCCTCTGAGGGGAAACTGGGAACGGCTGCGCTCCCCAGTGCACCAGCCCTTGGAAGCCCGGGGAGAGCAGCAGCTTCTCGCACTGTGCTGGGCAGGGTGTGGAATGTCCTCTGATCATCGGTGAAGAGCACAATCGTTTGTCAAAAAAAAAAAAAAGAAAAGAAAGCATTGAAAAAACCAACTCCCTTCTAAGCCCTTTAAACCTCTTAGCAGCTGAGGGATGCTGTGTGCAATATGGATGCCGTGCCCAGAGAAATGATACCATCAATACTTGCTTTTTTTCTCAGTGGGAGAACTCGGATCTTGTTTCCAATATCTTCATTTGCATAATCAGGTTAGGACCAATTAAAGAAAATACGTTTTATGAAATACATGCACATGCCACTGACTTCACAATGAGTATTACCAAGGTCCAGAATTTAGAAGGAATTTACAGGGCTGTTTTAGATCATGCTTGCAACTTTTTCAGAGAAAGTATAAACCTTTATTCTTGAAATACTTAAAAGTGTAAGCTCACTTCTGCCAGAGGGAGGTTGAGAGAGGGTCTGCTCTGTGGTGAGCCGATTTTTCCAGAGCGTGTGCCATGACTTGGTTTCTAGTGGCATCTCCCTGTGCAATAGTTCTCTGATAGGTCACCATGCCAAGAGAGGTGCCAGCAGTTGTGGGCAGTGTCACCAGCCCGCGCAGAGAAAGCTCTTTCATCTGATCTATTTGCATCACGAGTCACACACAGATTATCTGTTGGAGAGGCAAGCTGCTGCTGGAAGGGCTTGGGAGCCTTTGCCATAAAACCTTTTGTAGTGGCTGCTGTCAAAGACAATGCATGACCGGCTGGACCACAATTACAGCGAGCGTGTCCATCACGTGTGTTTGCAGCGCTGTTCTGTTGAAATGGGCTTGCATTTGACAGGAGAATTGCTGTCTAAACACGTTCAGAAAGGAAGGTTTTTTAACCTATCAATTACTAGCAAATTTGAGGGATACTTTTGTTGCATGTCAGCATCAAAATTATTTATAAAAAGCAAGGAAGTCTCCAGAGTACTCCCAAGTACCACTTGATAAAACGATGCAGAATTATCCAACTAGGCAAAGGTTAGAAGAAAGCTACTCATTTAATGACATAAATAATACAACCAACAGGAAGACAAAAATCTCTTTTTCAGAGGTTCAAATTATCAGTATCTCATAGTCCTGGTAATCACGTACCTCCTGAATTAAGCAAAGTGACTGGTCATTGTGCAGTAAACATTACAGGCACTTCCCACAGAGCTTTGGACACCATATACTGCAAGGGGTGAATGACACAGGCATTTACCCTGAAACAAACCCATACCTTACTCATACCTATAAATATGGATGCAATAAAAATCATACCTATAAATATGGATGCAATAAAATCATAATAAAAAATACTTGCAAACCAAAGTATAAAAGGACGGCTTTGTTTAGATACAAGTTTTCGGTGCAGGAACTGTCTGTTTCCAGGAGTTCATAGGGTGCCTGGTACAAGGGAGACCTGTTCTTGTTTGACCCCAGGCACTGTTCTGGTACAAATGATAATCGTGTCAATAGTAGTTCACATTCACTCACCTGCACCACACCTCACTCAGAAATAAAACCAGTGGGACTATTCCAGTGAAAGTCTGTGCAAATGAGCCACCTGCTCAAACCACTGCTTTAAATCTACCACAGTTGTCCTCTCTGAGAGCTGCTCGACAACGGGAGGACGTTATGTAAGAGTCTGGTGTCCTTAAGTGAATTTCCTGGTGAATTAGAGCAGTTGTTTTCCACTTGTGTTCCACAGAAGGCAGCGAAAAATAAAGGCTGGTCAATAGCGATCAACCCATGAGTTACCTGAAAGGATCCACATCTGGAAATCCACCACTCCAAAGTGTTGAAACCCACTGAGACACTGCAAAAGCCACTCCTAGAAACACCTGTCAAGGACAGGGATCCAAATGCTGTGCATTTGCAGCTCCCCCTGAATCCCCACTCTCAGGCTGCAGGTGTTCTTCTCTCTGAAGTAAACTCAGCACAGCACGGTAAGATCAAGGCATGAAATCTCACATTGCTTGCCAGAACAGGGCAACCCAAAACCCTGTCTAGACAGGTGAAATTGAAACAGGCTGCTGGCTGCCCAGCTCACCAAAATGCACATTAGCCATCCAACCCACAATAAATAGCCAGTGTGTGACCCAGGGCTGAACACGTTAAAATTAACACCCTTCCTCATATCTCCTATCAATTCTAGCAAACAGAAGTTGGATCAGTTGCAATCCCAGCTTTTTTTGTTCTTCCAGACTTCCTCTTCTGGCTCCATGCAGCACAACAGACATCTCAGGTATACAGGCTTGGCAGTATTTCAAGGTGGTGTTTGGGGAATTGCTGCGTGTTTTCTTTTTTTCCCTCAAATGAGCCAATCCAACCAGAAATTTATTGTGAATATGAGACAATCATTCCTTTAAATAATAAGCACTGAGCAAATAATTCACAATAAAAAACACATCAGTGAAAATATACCCCTAGCTATCACAAGGTGCTTCTGGGCATGATACCAGTTTTGAATAATTCAAGAATTTGTGAGGGTTTTTTATGAAATACTTCATTTCTGTGCTACAAGGGAAACACAGCCTCTGAAAGTGAAAATTTAATATTTATTCATTATTGTTGATACTACTACCAAGTAGAAGCTACTTTAAGTCAGGGCCTCTAGGTACAGATCAAATTTGACTAGGGAAGGAGATAGAGAGAGGTTTGTTCTACTCTGCAGAAATATCAGGGCAGTTGGACCAAAAGTAAAAAGTGGGGCTGGCAAGGAAGTGAGCAGAGGTAAAGATGTTTTCTCCAGAAGAGAGGAAGGACATTGATAGAAGGGCAATTCAGACCCACCTGCCAGTTCTGTACCCTGCTCCTGGACTCTGCCCACTCCTGGACTCTGCCCTTTCATTTGCACTTCTTTGTATCTTGCCCTCTTTTTATTATTCACTGCTATTTCATAATAGGCTTTGTAAACAGAAGCATCGCTTCCTGAAAGACACTGTAGCCTGGAAACCTGGGATATACCTACCATGGATACACCCACTGGAGCTAAACCTACCAGTTTAAAGCAGATAAGACTTCTGGGTCAGCAACAGACTTTTTCCCCCCCCTTTTCCAAAACCAACTCAGTTGTGACATATATTACTCAGAATATTCTTCTACTCAGTTGTATGTCTGTAAAACCAGGAAAGAGCATTAACACAATCATTTGCAAATACCTGGGATTCTAGTCTTAAGAAAAAACTGCTACTTTTTATGCATTTCCAGCATTTGGTCTTTTGGAGATCCGCACTCAGTTCCATCAGGTGTTCTGCAGAGGTCATTTCTGGGTGCTAACACAGAAGCAGTCTCCTGATATATCTTCTTAAGCTTAGTAACACCCACCTACAACCATGTCTTAGAAACAAAAGAAATGTAATATTCTGAAGGAAAAGAAAGAAGCAATTTGTGTCAAGTGCTCAGTGCCACTAGCACAGGTTTCATAGTAGTGAGGCACTTGGAACACCCATGAGAAAACACCTGACATGCCAAAACCTATGCAGAAAAAAAATATTGACTAAAGTCACCTTGTCTGAGTGTAAACCCATACAGAGGACACCTGTCCAGCTATGAGGCAGCTAACAGAGCAGCTGTGGCAAGGGCCAGACACAGAAAATTAGATGCCTCAACAGGGGATGTGCTGACCATTGTCCCCACAGGGGCTTTGCAGATTTGTTGTATGCTCTAAAAGAGAAAACGAGAAAAAGGAATAATAATCACTTACTACACTATTAATTACTCCTGGTTCCTTTTACACTGTTGCAACATTAACACATGGCTTGGCAAACTCTTTTCCAGTCAAAGAGGGAAGAAAAGATCAATCTCCTTTTACTGTCTCTCACTGAAATTTTCTGTCAGAGGCTGTAAGGGCCTACCACAGTCATGCTTTCTGTAACAAAGTAAAACAAATCACTTCTCTTGTCTGCTTAGCACATCCCTGGGAGTTTTCTGTTCAAAGATGGGAGATTACGGTTTTTCCAAGCAGAGCAACAAGGACCAGGAATTCCCAAATTGTATTCAATATCCGTTTAGACTCTTACACAGCAGCTGCTCCTCTCATGTTTGGATCCTTGATGCATATTAGAGATAATGGAGCTTTCTTCCCTTATTCACAGAGGTGCTGCCTGGATTATGGAATTCATTAGCCAATGCTTGCAAATTGCCACTGTTGACTCAGAGCAAATTCCTGCTATGGACTCACTAGTCAGCTCATTTTCATAACAATGCTGTATTGTTAAAAAATACTTTTAAGCCACTC